ATTCCTTTCTAATGCGTTCAGGTTTTAATACACACTACGGCTCATTTAAAATGTGAAATAAAACTCACTAATTAATCTAGATATAAACCTTAGAAATTATTATTCATACACAATAAAAATATTACTGTAACTGCATGAAGTAAGACACAAATGAATTGTTACCATCTGATAACGGTGTATGAAAAATACAAGACACTTTGTAAGTAATTTATTGTACCAACTTAGTTTATGGAAAGGGGGAGGTGCTATGTTTTTTTTTTAACTATTTGTAATGACATTTTATCGCAGAAAAGTTATTATTTTTTCAACAATTTTAATTGAATCGAATGAAATATTCAGAATGATTTTCTTTTGAATAGCAATACATTTTTTTAACAGATAATCAGGATATAATTATATACCCTCCCCCCCACTCAACATCATTGTGAGGTACGTGAATGTTATTCAATAGAATATAAGAATATTTTATTAGTTAATCATTTGATAGAGTAAAAGGTATACATAAATGTAAAAAAGTAAAGAACTGACACGAAGGGGGCACGAAATCGTGATATATGTACATGTTACACGAAAACGAATATCAATACATGTAGGTCACAGTATGATTTCCTATTCAGTGTGTATCGTCCTAAACATGCATAAAATATTTGCCACTGGACGTAAAGTAACCATCAATCAATCAACCTATTCAGTGTGAATCAATAAGATTTTCAAAATCTAACACACGAATATGTTAAATCTGGCTTTATTTTAAAGTGTTATGAAAGTTTTACATTAAAATTCATCTCGCATATATGATAATGTCTCTGTTTTGTAGCGATAAATTAACAAAACTTCACATTATTTGTTTCTAAAATTAAAATTCGGGCAATGACGATTTTTTTTACACCCTTCATAGATTGAACTTTAAAAAATAAATTCCCAAATCGGCAACAGAAACTATCAGACAAATATAATTTTGAAGTAAATTATAGTTTGTATTTTTATCAAGGAAAATAATGACCTCACACAGGTCATTATTTTACGCCTTGGAGCATATTTCATTGAAACATGGTATCGTCCGGGTTGATTCTTTGAAAGAATGACCTATCGTTCTGAAAGAAAATATATAGAACATTTTTATTTTAAATATTTTCCCCAAGGGTGAGTTTTGAATAGAAATATACTCTGCTTCCGACCGGCGGTAAAACCTTTGCCAAAGTGGGGCGTTCGTTTGGCTGTGCGGGATGTATAAATACGCAGCCACGTCCAGTCAGAATTAGGACGTTAAATCCGATGCCTCGTGTAACAATACAGAGAGGGTGCCATTTTCTCTGCGTGTTAAGAACCCTTGCAACAACTCTTTTAGGGGTCTGTAGGTGGCCTGTTGCAAGGCAAAATGTATGTCCCTACCCAATAAACCCTCATTTTTTAGAGGCAGTCCAAATTTCCCCGACCTTCATCCCGCACGGTTTCTTTTATAGAGTCTAACTTTTGTATTACTATCAAATTCTGAAATTATTGCGTGCATTGCGATTTTTAAAGAATGGACAGAAATTATGGATTAATTATGGCGATTATAGGAAAAGCTGCACAGATTTATGTATAAGATATCCGATAATACGAGTAATAATTATTGTGATACTCATAGCCCTTTCGCATTATACGCATTGATAAAAACCTCCGTATTATTTCTGAATTTACAGTGATTGTTAATTTGTTCTCGTCCTGAACATCCATGAAATATTTACAAGTGGAAGTTAATTAAACATCAATCAATCAATTAAAAATATATTCAAGAAGCTATGTCAAATCTATCTCCGTATTAGTGATTATTTTTCCGTACCTTCGTCAGCAGTAACAGATCTTGTAGATTGATCAAATCATGACAAATGTTCATGGTTTTTCTCTATTAAATTGTTTTACATTTTTTCATACCGGGCCCCTTTATAACTTGCTATCCGGTATGGGTTTTGCTCATTGTTGAAGGCCGTAATGTCAGTCACCTGTAATTGTTTTCACCTTTTTCCTTTGGCCGTAAATATAGTTGTCGTCGAAGGAGGGATAATCACTATAGGTTGTGCAAGACTTTTTTTTATGAAGCACGCTCTTTAACAACTTGGTGGCTCACGTACGATGATTTGTCATCATCACTAAAATTACAAAATGCAGCTCGATTTTCCTTATTTTTGTCTGCTATATTTGCGTTCATGTACAAAGACGAACATTGTTTTTTTTTTGGATTGCACAGTGCAAACCCAGCTTATATTATGGTGCTGTGTATCGATTTTGGTGGTTGGTCGGGCGGGTCGGTAAAATATACCTATTTACTGTTATCAACAGTTACGCCTCCTATAGTTTTTAATCATAATCTCTGAAACTTCACAGAAAGATTGCACACATATTAAACTTGCTATAGTGGAATTAGTTTGGGAAAATTTTCCAATTTATCTAGCCTTTGGCAATTAGTCAATGTTCAGAAAATTGTCAAAAGATTGTATCTGTTGTGTGTAATCAACTCCTTACATGCAGTTTTCAAGCAAGATCTTTAAACTTCACAAAAAGATTGCAACATATTTAAGCTCTCCGACGGCTTTTATTAAATTATTTGGGGATTTTTTTCTCATTTTTCCAGACTTCAAGCTCAGTCAGTGTTTCAGCCAAATTGTCAAAAGACGGTAACTAGTGTGTGTACATATAACTTCAACTCCGGATCATCCTACAGTTTTCAGCTCAGATCCCAAAAGCTTCACAGAAATTGGACCCCCCCTCCTCCTCCAATTTTTGAGGCCTTTAGGGACCGATTCATTTTTGGGTTGTTTCCTCTAAATTTGCAACTGTTTCGCAGTTTGTTGAGAAAAAACGTATATTTTCTGCATTTTTACTTCCACTGATTTTGTTTGGTGTGTTCACAGGGAACATATATCCAAAGGGAGCATGAACCTATATATATATATATATATATATATACTGAGTAAATTTTATTTCATACTTCAAAAATAAATTTTCTTTTAAACATAACAATAAATAAAATGATTGTAACAAAGAAAATAAACCATGAGGGGCAATTTTAATTCGAGAAAAAACGTGAGTCTACTTTTCAAGTGAAATTCTTAGTTTAAAATTTTTGAATTAAAATATATGTTGCTAAACTTGTCAAGTTTACTCAGTATATTTCAGAATGTTGAGTTCTTAAAATTCTTAGAAATTATATGTATATCCTTATTGTTACAGGAAGTTGGAACTCAAGATCTGTTTTAAGTTTGCATTCCTTCGTTATTGACTTGATTGTCTTGAGTTTTCTCAACTACTTAGTTTCTGAAATCTTTGTGAATCTTTCGTTAAAATCTCCTCAGATTAGTGTATTTTCATGCCCCGCCTACGACAATATGGGGCATTATGTTTTCTAGTCTTCTAGTCTTGTGTGTGAATCAGTTTTGTCTGTTCGTCTTTGTCAACTTTGTAAACATTTGTTGTCGAATATTTAATAATGAGCAAAGAGTTTGTAATAAATAAAAAATAAAAAACACGCTGCGTAAACAAAAAACAAAACACATATCAGAACAAAAAGGGACCTATAACCAAAGACATGTATACATACAGTAGTGTATATCTGTAACTACTATAACAGTAGTCTCAGTGTATATTGGCCAAGTTATAATAGGTCCCAGAAAATATACAACTGGTATAAGATCGATCGCGAGGAAACAATGGTTATAAATAATAATAAATAAATAAGCTTTATTTAGATTCGGCATAGTATACAAACAAGGACACAGCATAAGCTCTAATGAGCTTTTAACCGACATACAAGACATAACAATACAACACATAATATACATACAATAAAATACACAGGACAAAATGAAGCACTAAAAGCATGGTGTTAATAAGCAGAATATAAGCATTTTAAGCTAGGTATTAAAGCTAAAAGCATTCTAGTTATTAAAGCAAAAAGTATATAAAATATAAACTAAGCATGATTAGAAAGCTGGTAAAATGCATAGCATAAAATATTAAAACAAAAAGGATATGATCTAGATGGTAAAATTTAACACAATATATTAATTAATAATCTGCACAAACTGTGCACTTACAGTCATTTCCATTCCATGACTTTAAAATATTTTTAAACTGACTAAAATTAGCAATTTATAAAATCATCAGGTAGATCATTCCATAAAACAGCAGCTGTATATTTAAAAGAGTTCTTACCATAGGTTGATGTTTGAACCCTAGGTTTATCTACAATATTAGAATATCTAAAATTATATTTACAGTCTTTCAATACAACTAAATCGTGTAAACAAGATATAAAATTTTAAAACATTCAATAGACATGTTTACGCATACGTCTAATTTTCAGTGAAGGAACCTTTGCTCGTATACGGAGTAATTCATCATATGAACTAGCATAGTCTTCATATATAAATCGTCAAGCCCTTTCCTGATTTTTTTTCTAATTTAGTGGTATTATTTTTGTTGCAAAAATTCCAAGCCAAAGGACAAAAATTCAAATTAGATAAAAAAAAATGTGTGGAAAATGGTCAATTTATTTTATTTAGCCTAAGCAGAGACATATATACACGTATATATGTCTCTGGCCTAAGGTAGCAGCCAATGCGCTTTAAAACATTCAGTTGTTGAGATGCTTTACGACAAATATTTTTAATGTGTTGATTAAAATTAATTTGATAGTCAATATCAATACCTAGAAGTTTTACAATCTCATCACAAGATATTTTTGATGACTATATTAAAAACAGACTTCTTTGCAAATGTCTTATTTCAAACTGCAATGTCTTGATCAAGATTTGCCTGCATACAATTAAATCTAAACCATATCAACACCCAAATACATCTTAAAATATCGAATACATATCAGTTAAAAAGTTTACAAATATAATACAGGAGTAAAATCTTTTATTGTCCCTGGTCTCATTGAATAATAAAGGATTGCCCCCAGCCTAGTGACCGATGAGCGTAAATTGAGAGAAGGGAAGTAACTCATCATTATTTCCGTTTAGGTTTGGACAAGCACCTGCCACCTGCTTTTATCGATATCGACATGAATGGGAATCGGAATGGTAAAAGGGGTTGGATATTTCTCATTTAGTGAATTTTTGTGCATGTCCTCTTTTAATATAAGGCAGATATCTTGAATGATCGCACAGAGCTAGGCTGGTGTCGTACATTATAGATGGATACATAAACATGCTCCCTGGTCTGTTTTTGTATTAGACAACTAAACTGGTTATAAAGTCCGATTACTTCTCGATTATGATTTAGAAATATAAATCTACAATCACATCAAAGATGATTTATACAGTTACATGCAACACGTGCTGGAATTGTTTAGGGATGTAATTAAATATGGAAATCCCCTAATAATTCTTGGTTCTGTTTTTAGCACAAACTGGTGAACTTGTTTGATAGGTATTTCTTTTGTCTTATCAAATTTATTTTTATAATACATGGTCTGTAAAAGATAAAACCAAAGCTATTAATCAGGTTGGTGCAGAAACAGTGATAAAATGAAAAACATGTTAGTTTTCTCAATTGAATTGTTTCTTATTTTTCATGGTGGGGCCTTATATAAACGAGTCTAAGGTATGGGGTTTTCTCATTGTTGAAGGCCGTACAGTTGCCTATAATTGCTTACATTCACTTCATTTGAACTCTGGATTGTTGTCTCATTTGCAATCATAACACATCTCCTTATTTTTATATGTACATATGCACATATGTACATTGTCATTGTTTATTTTTGTATTTGTATTTTGTAAATGTCAGCTGGTATCATTCCTGTATTGGAATTTAAACCAATAAAATTATTTGATTTGATTTGATTTATGCATAGAACTAAATTTTACATGTTTAAAAAATGAAAACAACACGTTATAAATTTCATGTGTACGAAGCACTTTTCTGGACTTACCTTCATCAGGAAGGCTCAATGTTAAGGTTCATCTGAAGGTATTGACAAATATTGATGCAGCTACACCACATAATTTTTTTGTGAGTACCAACCTGTAAACATGGAAAAGCCTAAGGCATGGCAGCACCTAGACTTAAGAAAATTTTAACATGTTAACTTAAATGCAATTAATGGATATAATCGTTCAAACTTCTTAGACTGAGTGAGGGGTGTCATTCTGAATTCCTTGGAAAAAATACAGTTGAATTCCGAATTCTCCAAAAAATGAAGCATTTTTCCCCGATAAGTGTAAATTCTGAATTCCGCAAAAAATAAAGGCCAAATCCTGACGTCCCGAGAAAATGTCCTGCCCTCTAGACTGGACATTTTTTTTAACCTTTATGTCTTTAAAAGAAGTGCTCTGCAAAAAAAGTAAATAGACACCTGTTAAAGTTTCTCATAGAGTTTGCATATGAGGGCATGTTCTTGATTTTTTGTGATTCAGGTGACCCTGTTCAGTTGTGCCTACAATGTTGTGAAAACAATTTGATTTTTATTCCTAAATTCTTCACCTATTTTTAACTACATTTTAAGTTGCATTACACTCGGATGAAATATCTTACATTGGCCAGAGAAATGACTGTACGATCTATTGTCAGTGTGCATGTAAAAATATGTAGCTAATACTAGAAGTTTAATTAAATAACAGCTACTCCAGAACTAGAGAACCAAAGGTGTAAAAGATTTATTAGATTTGTTTTCAAAGATACTTATTTAAAGGTGACATTGATTTCAATCATTTTATCCTAAAAATGACCATGTTCTCAACATTGTTTAACCGTCTATAGACTTTCATGTATCTGCTGAAAGCTTTTTATTTGTACAGTACTACAATGTATTTACTAGTAACCACTGTAAATACATGTATTACATTGTATATATTATCATTGGACAGATGGTTGCATCACAAGGGCAAACAATTACTGGTTTTGACTTTGGGTCAAACCTGAATGAAGGAGGGAAGCTTATGTATTGCATAATGATTAATGTTTGATTTGCAGATTCGCGTATGACGAAAAATAAATTTGGATGGTAAATAATTTTGTTGATCAATTGACAAAAAGGAGGAGGTATATTAAGAACCATTATTTGGCTCCTGAAATTGCAAAAAAAGTAAACTTATTGGAGCCTTTTTAAATTATGTTAATTTTATTGATAAATAATTTTAAAATGAACAGATTAATACAATCGGGACACTTTAGTGCAGAAAGGTCACTAGAGAAGTCACTATAACATCACAGACATGTCAAAATTTAGTATCTGACCTAAAATGGCCATTTCACGAGAAAAAGATCTTTTTAATACACACATTAGCATCTTAAAATACATGTTGTAGCAAAATAACTTTTTTGGTAAAGCTGTTGCTCATATATCAAAACCATCAATAACAAGATCTCAAAATGAGGCTATTTTTTTGCAGTTTTTGTTGTTTTGCACTAAATGTAAGAGGTTTGAAGCTCTAATGTCAATATGTAAGACAAAATTAAAGAATATAAATACCAATTTCTGACAGACTAATGTCTTTTGAACATCTGATTAATTTTATTTGGTAGATTTATGATAGTTTTTGATATTATACTTCATGTCAAAATGCACGATTTTGATTGGTTTATACGTGGGAGATGATTTACTCTATCCCATGGCAAATACTCTATTACCCTTGAGGGAGACGCTTGATCAATTGTGCGCTTTATTAAGTATGGATGGTTGTTATGTACAAGACGATATAGTTTATTACTTTGAATTTTAAACTTAATAGACAGTAATACACCTTATCGCTTTTCCGGCTTGACCCGAGAATATGTCCCGCTTGAACTTTTGACTTCATACAACAATCACTTTTCCATTGTGGTGTCAGATATTTTCTATTATGACGTCAAAATTTTACGGGAACTTTTGTGATGTCCAGTAATGGCGGCCAAATAGCGATAAGGTGTATAGCAGAACATTCAGTATAATAAATTAAATAATACATAGCTGAGAGGGTAATAGATCAGATTGTTACCCCTGGAAAAGACATTGTCAACCTTGGCCTTGCCTCGGTTGAAAATATTTGCTCTATCACCCTCTCAGCTATGTGTTATTTATATAGTATTGCATAGTCTATTAGAGCTGACTGATTGGATAATTTCTTTATTAAATGTATCTAAAATAACCAATTATATGGACTTCAAAAGTTAGCCTTATTCCAATACAAACAAAACGCATGAAGGTATTATTATGACAATGCTTATTATCTAAACAAGCCCTGTGTTAAAACACTCTTTTTTCTTTATTAGGTTCAACAAACAGTTTAAGTGAACAAAATTCCAGTACAGACTTGAATAAAAAAGGACAGACATCAGATATGACCGATGATAAAATAGATGCTAATAAAACAGCTGATATAGAGGAACAGTTGGGCAAACTTCCAGATTTTCTCTCTGATGATGAAAAGACAGATACTAAACCAGTAATTAAACAGGAACCAATGGGTGTAGGTTCATTTTTTTATGCAAATCATGTACAAAAATATCTGAGTGTATCAAACTTGTTGAAAAGATTTTTCATGTGTTTCTTCAACTTTCTTATATGTTCTTGCTAACATAACTTTCTCCACCAATCAATCTAATCACCAAGCATTTGAGATACTTATTTTTATTTTGCGGTCGTATATTGGTATCACGTCGTCGTCAGCGTCGTCCGAAGACATTTGGTTTCCAGACAATAACTTTAGTTCAAGTGTATGGATCTCTATGAAATTTAACCAAAAGGTTCAATACCACAAAAGGAAGGTTGGGATTGTTTTTGGGGTGATGGTCCCAACCGTTTAGGAATTAGGGGCCAAAACAGCATTTTCTAGTTTCAGGACAATAACTTGTGTATTAGTATTTTGATTGCTCTGAAATTGTACCACAAGGTTCAATACCACAAGTAGAAGGCTGGGATTCATTTTGGGGTAATTGCCCAAACCATTCAGGAATTGGGGGCCAAAAAGGGTTTAAAACAAGCATTTTTCTAGTTTTCAGATAATAACTTGTGTTTAAGTGTATGGATGTCTCTTAATTTGTACCAAATTTTACAAAAAGAAAATTTCTTCAAAATTAATTTTTTTTGGAAAAGGGGGGGGGGGGGTAAATTTTTTTTAGGGGGGGCAATTTTTTTCCTCAGAAGAAAATTCTCTTCAAATAGTTTTTTTTTTTTCTAAATTCCTTAGAATTAGAGCCACCAAACAATGACTCTTGTATAAAACTTATCCTTATCCAAATTTTTGTCCAGAAAACATTTCTGTTGTGCCTGCAAATATTGACTTCACTTTTGTTTTTCACATGAGTATGATCTTTAGCTTAAGTATGATTTACATTTTCAAATATATAGGCTGACATACTTGATGAAATTTCATGTACATGTACTTAATATTAAAGTGAGATGGGGAAGTAAATAATTATTTCCTGATTAGTAAATTTTAGTACATATCACACTTAATTGTATTATACTTACATAAAATAAGGAAATGTTATTCTTATCTTTATGAAACAATATTGACATTATCAGGGTACCTTGGTGTTAAAGCTGTAGCAGTAAGGTTCTTATTAGGCACTGGCTACGATTACCCGCAAAGAGTTATAATAAGAAATAATTATTGTTACTTCCGAGACTAATTTTGAAATGTATTTCTGGACAGAGACCCGATTTCATACGAAAATTGCAGTAACAATAATATGTTTTATTGTTGCCTGCAGTTACTGTTACCTGCAAAATATATTCAGACAGGCACTGATCTAATAAATGTTTGATATGCGAGCTATCTGTGAAATAAATTAAAACAATTAAATAATGATGTCAAAAACTTTTACATGGTTTAACTTCCAAATGTATTGACCTATATGATGCTCACTTTTGCCAAACAGAGTTGATTAAAACAACTCATTATAGACGACCTTCGAATTCATTCACTCTTCCATCAATGTCACAATGCTTATGCTATTACATCACAGTAAGCAGGGATCTCCATGGATGAAAATTAAACGATGGAGGAACTTTCACCATGACAAAACCCAGCGTCTACGGCGTGGCGTGAAAGTTTTTCATTTCTTCATTTCCATGTAAGGAATGGTGAACAGGTTGATATATTGCTTATTATATTTATTTCATTATAGAATATAAACCAATATTTTCATTAATTGTCATTGGTAACAATTCCAATGCCAAGCCTGTATGGCTCCCACTTAGTTAAGAAGTAAATAATGACCACAAGCTGTCCTTAAGGTTCCCACATCGTTTTCTTGCTATTTTGGTAATTGTTAAACAGTTTAGGGCTTAAAAATCGGAAAATCTTTTTTTTTCACTGTCAAAATTCAGAAGTCATGAACCAGTATTGACGATTTGCAGCATCAACAACAAGAAGTTTCGTACACGTTATGTAAAACGGTGAAGAAAGATTTGGAAGGCCATTCTGAATGTAAACTGTAAATGGGATGCATTAATTTGATTGTAAACTATTAAATGAATTTCGGAATTACGATACGAAATTTCTTCAGATTATCAAGTTGCAGTTAATATTCATGTATTTACTTTTAAACTTGTAAAGTGATTCAATATTATCGATAATTGCTGTACTCGTGTTATTTGGCATGATATTATGTTCTGTTTTACGTGTTCGACTTGTTAAACTTTTTTCACTTTAACCATGTTAACTGGATTTAAAATTTACTTTTTTTACCTAAATTTTCATTAGCATTTGCTGAAACTTAATTAAATAATGCAATCAACGTCTATCTTGATCAAATGTTCTACTGTCAGGTGTTACTGTCTACGATCATCTACCTGTACAAGCGATTAGTGATCTTTAGCCTGGTATCCCTCCAGGCTTTAAAACTGTAATCAGGAGGACCCATGGGATTATAATACAAAAACCCTAAGGGTTATGCAATTACATGCAATTGATTATAGTTGACAAAAATGGGGTGGCTAGAGAAACGAAAACAAATTTTGACCATGGCAGAGATCATTTGACAACGTCCGGGATCATATGACCATGGCGGTAGATAATTTAATGATGGCGGGGATCATTTGACGGTGGCGAAAGATATTTTAACAATGGCGGATCGCCATCATAAAACAGGTCATGGAGATCCCTGAGTAAGCACCAATTGTTCGATGACTTCATTTACACCAATTGTCTTTGGATCAACCTGTGTAACTCATTCATTAAAAAAAAATTGATATTAGTGTATTAAGAATGGAACTGCTTATTGTGGGGTATAGATGTGCATATATACTTTGTTCAATAATTTTCTATTCAGTCATATCAATTTGTTCAAAAATGTAAATTAATGTATACAGGATCATGACAAGAAGGCAGTACAAAGTATCCCGATGCTACACACAGAAAAGACATAATTTGTAAATGTAAAATTTTGCAGGTAACAATAAAAAAAGAAATTATAGTTACCTGCAATTTCTGTATGATATGAGGTTCGTGTCCGGAGACACATTTCGGCAATTAGTCTCTGAAGTAACAATAATTATATCTTATTGTTACTTTTTGCTTGTAATCGTAGCCAGTGCCTTCTTTTTAATCCTTGCCTAGTAATAATGAGTGTAAATTGAGAATGTGTTAAATAAAGAAAAGAAATTACATTTACTTTTAGAATTTGAAACTTCATAAAAATTGTGCTTGTCAGGGCTTTTGTTATGATTGCAGATATTTGCTATGTTTTTGCATTATAACAAGAACAAATGGGAATTTGGTTTGATCAGATACATTGTAGACATATTTTTAACAGAACTACATCCTTTGACATTATATTTTCAATTATTTTTTGATAACCAACTTTGGAGAGAATTTCAGCATTTTACTGGATTTGTTCAAAAATGTCCAGGAGTTGTTTTTTCTAAACGTTGCATTACTCTCTAGATCTTTATTTACCAATCTTGGAACACTGATTCCTTAAAGCATTTATTGAACACAATAAATGGCACTGATTTTGATTTTTTTTTATAAATGCTTCAATGCACAGTATTTTTATTTACCTTGAAGTAATATATATAGTTAGTACAATTAAAAATAAAGGAAATGCTGTATTAATTCTTGACCTTAAATCCATAAACATACCAAAAGTATAAGAACAGTGCTTTTATTGCTTTTTATCAACAAATTATAAGCTATATCTTACAAAGAGGTAGCAAAATCTGACACAAATTGTCTGACAAACTTGCACAAAATACAGAAACAATAGATAGTTTTCAATATGAGATATATGGAGTCGGACTAATTTCTCTTGGCCATTATGTTAGAAGGCAAACTGGTTGATTTTCTTATTTGGTTAATCAAATTAAAAATATGTAGTACAGGCAAGTCTTAACAGGATATTAAAAAGTGTATCAGGGGATTTTATACTTTAACAAATATGACTGCTGTAGCTAAAAATAGACTATAGGGGTAAAATGTATTTTTTGGCTTGTATCTCAAAAACTGAAGCAATTAGAGCAAAACTGGCATAGGGTAAATTGATCACGCAAGATATATCTTATGATCTGCAATTTCAGAAAAATCCAACAACACGTATTGGTGTCGTTGCCCCTAAGATGGCTATTTTTAGCAAATTTCAGTTTTTGGCTTATATGTGTATCTCAAAAACTAAAACAGTTAGAGCAAAACTCAGAGAGGGTATTGTACCAGCTGGTCAAGGTCTATCTGTTGAGAAATTCTCAGAAAAAGCATACAACCTTGTTTTCCTTTTTTTGTGGAAAGTATAGTGATAGAGTGATTCTTTCAATTAAAAAAAGAAAAGATTTACACATAAGTCAACTTGGATATAATGAATTGACTCATTATAGGAGTTATTGCCCTGGAAAAACTAGTTTACTCATTGTTTGCGTTTTTTGCAGAAACTATAGTAGATAGAGAGATAATGTAAAAAGCTTATGTTCATCAAAATAACATCTACAAATAAGTCAACATTGTGGAAATTGCTAATTAGCCCTTATGCCCTTGAAAGATGGTTTTTATCCTCTTTTTTTTTTTTTTTTTTTTCTGAGAAGCCATGATAGAAATTATAAATAGCAAACATGTTCAGTAACAAAGGATCTATAAATAAGTCAACATGGTTGAAATCTTCAATAGATCCCTTAGAGGAGTAATTGCCCTTTAAAGATGAATTTTACCCATTTTTGCAATTATTGCAGAAACTATATACATAGATAGAAACAGTAATTAGCAAAAGTGTTCAGCACAATTAGATCTACAAATAAATTCATTTGGCGAAAATGTCAACAGACTCCTCAAATATAGGAGTTATTTCCTCTGAATTATGAGTTTGACCTATTTTTGAATTTTTGTCAAAAATGGTAGTAGATAGAGAGACACTGTAAAAAGCAAAAAAAGACCAGCAAAATAAGATCTACAATTAAAACAACATAGCCAAATTGTAATAAATTTGCATTAAAGGTAAAAATAAATATCAAAATGAAATATTTTTACCAGATGAGCAATACAGGCTCTTGAGAGCCTTTTGTTTTAAAAGTGGTCAGTATAACAAATTGATATTGTTTGATTTACAAATGTATGCAGGAATTTGTGACATCTAATATGGAGGCAATGGGATATCACTCTTATTCAAAATAGGTCAATAAAACTATCCATTCAAACATTAATTTCTCTTGTACTAATAGAATGGTTTCGACATGACATAATCCGAGTTTGAGTTATTTCCCTTGGCCACCATTTTTGGGGGGATAAATTATTGATTTGCTTATTTGACTAACCAAATTGAAACATGCGGTATTAACAAGTCTGATAAAAGATCCTTACTAGATCATAGATATGAATCAAGCAAGGCTAAAAGAAATTAAAATTGTTCAAAAAACAACTTTTTCTATTCAAGTCTAGCAGTCAGTATACCAAGTTGAAATTGGGTGATTTATGCACCTAGACCTCCAGCATGTTGAAAAAAGGGAAGTAATTCTTGCTCAAATTGTGTTAATAGAAACCTTTCTATACAGAAGTGATAGTCCAAAAATCTCTAATCAAGTTGCTGAAGATAATATAATTTAGACCTTATTATTGTAAGGTCCATACATTCATGAAAATAAGGTTTTTAGTCACATTAAAAAAAAAAATTCTCTGTAAGTGACGCATACTTATGTCTTGCTGAATAAAACTAAATCTACTGTTTTCGTTAATTTATGCTTAATAGTATTGTTTGTACATAATTAACACCTGTAATGTTATGTTGTTTTTAGCCAGTTCTGTGTGCTGCTGATTTTGATAGATTGAGAGAGGTAATGAGACACGATACCTATACACACTGTGATGTACACAAACTAGAACGGATGGAAAGAAATGTTGTGTGTATCCAATGCCAGCAGCTTATTTGTGCTCTGTGTTTACTGAATTCTCACCAGTCACATGACATACGCTCTGTCTCTTCAATGAATGAGTATTTTAATGTGAAGGTAAGACTTACTGTCAAATCTTGTTTTATGAAATACTGATAGGCCTTCCCTGTCATACAAGTCTTAGATGGGTAATAGTTTTTTTGTCAATTCCTGAATTGACTCTGTAATGAGTGATCTATTTTTTATTTGTTTCTGTTAGGAGAGACATGAATTTTCATTGACATGAAGAGCTGGCAGAAAGAGTAAATTTATCTGTCAGAAATGTGTGTTACCTGTAAGTTTTCAAATCTTTTAAATTATATTCGTTTTTTGTTTGTTAAGCTAAAAAGTTGTGATAGCAGTAGTAATTGTTTACCAACAATTGTTTAAAACGCCTATATATCACTTTCAACTTATCACGCTTAGTTTGTCTGGAATAAAACCAGTCTACAATTGACTAAGGGAAACATTTTTTGTTAAAAGTGTGTAATTACAGAATAAAATAGTAAATAGTCTGAAAAACATACATGATTCTGTCTTTGATGTCAGTTTATCTTCATGTGTATCCTTTGTAGCTCAAGAAATTCACCCTCTTAAAAATCTGCTGGTGGTTGTTTGTTATCAATATTTTGTTCATTGGTTGTTGTTCTTTACAAAATTCAAATTCTGTAGATGGTTGTTTAAAAAACTGAACAAATTTCTATAGGTGGTCAGGGTTAAAAAGATGGGTGCCTTCCCTAGGGAAACATAGTATTTTCTGAAACACCCCTTCAGTGTTCTCTCCAGATATTTCATATGGCATCCTGGTAAACAAGAAAATTCAAAATGCCATCTTGTTTCTAAAAGTTATAGCATCACATCCATAACACAATATATAAGTAAATCAATTCAGATAGCATCACATTCAAGAAATGTACCATCACATTACCATGATGCTAAAAGGCCTTAGGGAGAACACTGCCCCTTAATGTGAATTGGCCATTTTAACAGAAACCATTTAAGACATGTAAACAACTTCAGAATTAAGATTGTGATAGCATCACTACATTTGAATTATTCAGTCCCAACCACTAAGTCATTGTTTTTAATACTTTTAGATTTAATGGACATATAATAAGTTCATGAAAAGACCAGTTAAGCAGAAAACCTTTTCTTTCAAGAATTAAAATCTATCAGATTGCTTTGTTTTTATTTTGAGACAGACAGGAAAGACATATATCAGTGTGTTAACAGTTTATTTATATCGTGCACTATATTTAACAATAAGATATTGCCTATTGAGATGTTTCCATTAACATTATTACAATGATATTGTTCCAGGGTACAATAGAAGATGACGTTTCAGTACTACAACAGGAACAAAACAATTTAACTGTTATGTTTGCTCAAAGGAAAGAACTAAAGAAAAAGATTGAAGTATGAAACTGTTGTTTACTATTGAAATGTTTACATTTATCACAATTTAAAAAAAAAGCTCAGTATGGGTAGCTAGCAGGTTAAGATTCAGAAATTTTTTATAAAAAGGAAGAGGGGTCCCTCAGAAATTTTTTATCAAGAGTAAAGGGGGTCTTGCATAATTTTTGTTGATTTTTAAATGACTAGAATTTCTGAAATTTGAACCCCTCCTTTATGGATCCTCTGAATTGTGCCAATGGTTGGTTGTATGCATTTTACATGATACAAATACTTCACATGGGTTAATTTTGTGCTGCACATGTTTTTAATTTTTAGTGGTAGATACAAAAAAACATCTAATAGTAGTAACACTAGAAATCTGTAGTTGTAATGGAAGACATGTAATTTTATCACAAAAATAAATATGAACAAACACACTGACAAAGTTAATCACAATATTTCATGCCAAAAATATACCCCCACAGGAGTTTAAAGGACATATTTAATGGTTGACAATGTTCTATATCCAATGATGCTTAACTGTTTTATGATTTGCAGGAATCATCACAGAACTTGGTAAAAGATATTGGGAAACGATTTGATGCTATTCAAAATATCTTACATGGTAATATATAAAAATGTGTATGAATAAAAGGAAAAGATCATAAATGAGATAGCAACCCTCTACATAATTATAAAAAAAGACTTTATTGACCTTTTTACTGAAAAATCTTGCAATAATTCAGTATCCATTACAATCACTGACTTAGATAGTGTTGTTTTGGTTGAATATTGTGAATTTTTATTTGAATAGCTCAGATAGATGGTGACACATTGTGATGACTCGAAACTAAAGGGATACAAAGCTACTGATGATGGGAACATCCTGATACTAAAACCCAGAAAAAACAGTTAATGTTAGTTACAGCAGCACAAACAATACCCAAGATAGAAAAAACTAAGATAATGACGCTGAAAAAAGAAAACATACATTTTTAGAATTATAAATTAGTATTGATAGCAGTTTGTATGGAAGCACATGAATTTTTTGTTCCCTGTGCATTACCTATGAAACACAGAAATTATTTGTATATATATATATTTCAGCTAAACAAGAACAATTGATTGTACATGTATCTACATATGTAATTTCAGCTAAACAAGAACAATTGATTGTACATGTATCTACATATGTAATTTCAGCTAAACAAGAACAATTGATTGTACATGTATCTACATATGTAATTTCAGCTTAACAAGAACAATTGGTTGTACATTTATCTACATATGTAATTTCAGCTAAACAAGAACAATTGATTTTACATGTATCTACATATGTATTTTTTAGCTAAACAAGAACAATTGATTGTACATGTATTTACATATGTATTTTTTAGCTAAACAAGAACAATTGACTGCATATGTGAAACAGTTTGAAAGTCAGAACATTACAGAGTTGACAAGAGAACTTGACAAGATTAGAGACTTAGAAAATGCAGCATCAAGAATGATCACCAGGGCAATTACATTTTTCTCAAAAATTGACTTGACATTAGCTACAGTACTTCCAAAAGAGTAAGAAAAACAATATGTCATTTCATTACTTAATTACGAGCTTGTCACAATATAATTAAACATATTCCATTTCAATACTTGCCAGGTAATAAGGCTGACTTTTTTCAGAGCATTCATCAATACACACATCTAGCTATTTAACTTTTGTTTTCCTGAGGGTATCATCTTTCTTTTAGCTTTTTTTATTTGCTGTGTCTGATCAGTCAAGGTTATAAGTACAGTCAGCTGAGTACAGTTCCATTTTAGGTTTGCCAATATGTTAGCAAATTGGAAATAATCCATAATGCGCAAATAATTATGATGTTTGAATTTATTCTTTTGAAAACAAAATTTAACCATTTGATGACTATGAGGTATCAACACCAATAAATGTTCATGCACATGCATAAAGTAGTCTTTGGATAGAAGCACAATTGGGCAATTAAATGTGTAAACAATTTGATTCCTTTAACAAATATACCATTGACTACAAAATATAAGTTTTACTGTAATTGTGACAAAAAACTGGTCTTTTTTTAGGAACAGATTTGAACAAATTTTATAATCAACATATACATGACTGGCAGCTCAAACCACTTCCTTTTAATAACTTTAGAACCCTTCAATCAATCCTTTTGAAATTTTAATGATATGTTTCTGATAACAAAATGGACATCAATTTTCCCTTTTGTTGCTCAGATGACAAAATTGAGGTCAAGTTTGATTTGGCGATCTTCTCTTTTGCTTTAAGGAATAATGACCCTTGATTGCTTTAGCAAAGACATTTGTAAAAGTAAGGAAAATCTGGTTTGCTGTCATTTTAACAAACACTTGTTTTTAAGTTCTTACTTTTTAGCTCATCTAGAAGAACTTTTGCCATTAATTGGTGTTCATCGTCGTTGTCTGTCGATGTAAACTTTTAAAAAAAAATCTTCTCCTGAAACTACAGGGCTAAATGTTACCAAATTTTGCCTGAATCATCCTTAGGGAATCAAGTTTGAAAGTTATATCTGGGGATTTTTTCACTGTTGCTAAAAATAACTCATGGGGAAAAATGCAGTTTCTTGCTTATATCTAAAAAACTTAAACAGATAGAGTTAATGAAATGTCTTTTTCTTTTTTCAAAATTCACAGATTTTGGTTTATATCTAAATTAAACTAAAGCTGTCACAGCAAAACTGACATTGGTATAAATGATCAGCTAGTTAATGTCTATCTCCAATTCAATTTTTACCAAAAAATCTAACAACTCATCACAGTTTGGTAAGATGAAATATTGCTGTGAAAATTTGTTATATGAGTAAAATGGTTTATATTTTGTTTGTGAATACAATGTCCTATCAATATTATTTAGTATTTAGGTAAAATATATTGAGGTTTCTAGGCACTCTAAATGTCTGTTGTTCTAAAGTCTTCATTTGCACTATTATATTGCATAGTTAGGAAGCAGCATCAGACAATTCACTATAACATATCAATTTTATAGAATGTATAATAAAAATTAGTTAAGGTATTGTACTTAACACTTTTGGTATCACAGATGACAAAAACACAGGTGCAAGAAGGACCATACTAAATATATATATATAAAAGAATACATGAAAAAAGGTCAAGAACAAAGTTCATAACCTGCCTTCTAACACTAGAAATTATCTTAAACTGTTGAAAAAGATTTTTTGAATTTTTACTGAAGTGTTCTTTATAAAGCATTGCAATTGTTCCTGAAATTAATGAAAAAGATGTGTTGTGATTATAATAAAAGACGATTACCATGTCTGATGAAGGATGAAGTCGGACAATTATTGTTCGTATTGTAATCAGGATGAAGTTTTACAATAATATTTGTTGCTTAATTTTTTTGTTGGAAAGTCAATTATTATTAATTATGGGTATTACAAAAGGTAGTGGTTCTTAACTATAAATCAGGCCATTGGTCTTCTCTTTTGAATTGTTTCCCATTTTTTTGCTTTTTATAGCTAAGTATATGGTATGCATTTTGAACATTGGTGAAGGCTGTATGGTGACCCATAGTTAATTAAATCCTCATCATTGTGTCTTTACTGGAAAGTTGTCTCATTGGAAATCATACCACATCTCCGTATTTTCAGATCAAATTGATAAATCAAATATCATTTTCTTTATTCAGTACATGAATTTTACACCTATATTTTAAATTACACTAATATCTGAAATTAATAAATAAAGAAGGGTTACAGCAATATTGAAACTGATGTAGAAAGATTTGTATTAATCATAAGGAGGATGAAATTTTACAATAATGTATATATATAAAACTGATAACCAAATTTATTTGGATTATAGGGTACATGATGTAATTGATAAGTGTAAATGTGCCAGCATTGAAAGTTTACAGAACAAAGAGAAATACCTGCCCGAGAGGAAATTTTCTAAGCTTTTACCATCACTTGATGCTGTAGCAAGCATCTGTGACACAATTCATGCAGAAGGTTTGTATAATAAATAAATATATAGTTACTGAAGAATATTGTATTTTTAGTATGGTATAGTTTTGATAGTACATATTTTAACAACTCAAGGATGGGTGATTTGGTAGTGTAAGCAAATGTGACTGAAGAATATTGTATTTTTAGTGTGGTATAGTTTTGATAGTACATATTTTAACAACTGAAGGATGGGTGATTTGGTAGTTTAAGTAAATGTGACTGTTTGTTTGATTATATTAAACACATAGAAATGTTTGAACACATTAATTTTTAATAAACGGTGATAACTTGACAGTGATTTTATCAATTTGTCTGCCACAATTGTATTTGATAGACCATGGTTATGAATACCTCTAAGATCAATGTCACAGTTACTAAAATAGACAGAAATTTGTGAAGGAAAGAGTTTTCTTGATGCTAAATTAAGTACTTTATATCAGATTGCAACCATACTAGGTTATAGGGTCATACACAATGAGACACTGGATAGTAAGCTAGTAAAAATCCATCAATCACATATGATTAAAGAAAGATCCCTTTTTATTTTTGAATCACTACTTCTAAGGTCAATGTTATAGTTACTAGAAATAGATCGAAATTTGTACAGGAAACAGGTTTCCAGATGCTCTATTAAATTCTTTAATTTTGACATGTATAATATTAGGACCAACACACAAGACATGTCAAATATCAGGACCAACACACAAGACATGTCAAATATCAGGACCAACACACAAGACATGTCAAATATCAGGACCAACACACAAGACGTGTCAAATATTTAACTAAAAGGCAATGTTTTAATGATCTGAAATTTTCCTTTGTTTTACAGCTACAAAGGTTGTATGGTCCAAAACAACAAAAAACAGTGAATCTGATGAAAAGAAAGGTAAAATTTTGGTTTGGAATCATGTTAATGGACCTATGTCCATGGTCATATATTGGAAGTGTGTATTTAAGTGGTTTCAATGATTTAACTTAGGACTGCATGTTTTGACTCATTCAGTACAAAGTTGTAGCCTTGAAACACTAAACAAGATATATAAAAATCATTTATAGGCTTTCAACCCAAGAAGACTTTGCATAATTCTTAAATTGACTGGTACTAAATACAGTGGATAGGACAAGGTTATTACATAATAACTATCAGAATATAAGGAGCCTTACAAAACTTAACCATTAGGTTGCTTCACACTTTTTAATTTAAATCAAGTAAGTGACACATTTTATTTTGGTTTTTTAAGCTGTAAGAAGTGAATTTTTAGTCACTTGGGACACTCATAGTTTTTTTTCCAGTTTGAATGTGATTATTTTGATCCTGTTTGCCTGGCTATTATAATATTGTATGGGTTTAAGGTTAATAAGTTTGAAAGAGGAATTTTGTGACTTGCTGTCCTATCATGCTGACTATTTTAACATCATTAAATATATATTTGGAATCTTTTGAAAATACGAGATGATTCTCATATTTTGATCTATCAAATGCAATAATCAATACACAAAATAATTTCTGAATAATCAGTTATAGTTTTATAGATATTAACCATTGTGTTCTGTTATCATTATTTCTTCTTTTTTATAGCAGTCAAAGTAAAGACAGAGAAAAGAAAACATCACAGTCATTCAGATCATTCATCAGGTTTGATTATTCATATGAAGGTCTCGTTTCCTATAAACCTTTCATCTACTCTGACAAAATCGTTGCATACATATTTTTAGACTTATACTTTGATCGAAAGAAAATAGAGAGAAAAAATTAAAAAGTGACTTTAAACATCAGTCAATGGTTTTTTTTAATTATAAGGGATCATTATTTATGAAATTTACTTCCCAAATACATAAGCTTAAAACAATTTTCATGTAACCCAATTATTCTCAAGAAATTAGAAATGTTGTTTAGTAAACTGACAATTCTTTCTCATAATGATAGACAGTTGTACATAAAAAAACAAATGTTGCAATCTTTTAGGGAAAAGTGTAGTTATCAATGTAAGATCTCTTCTGTATTTCCTGACCTTTTATTTATATGATTAAGTCAATTCAATGAGAATTTTAGAATGGTGTGTAATCATTTCCTGTATTTCAATGTTTGATGATTTTTAGAGATTTGGATTGAATTACCATACTGTATTAGTTATTAATTGGTATTGTTGAGCTGTGATAATTGTAACACTAAAGTATTATATCATAGATACTTCTAAGACGTTTAAGAAACCTAAGACAGCTACACTAACAACAGTATCATCTCAGTCATCAGCGCCCCTCTCCATACCTTCTCATAGATCATCAACAGAAAAATCTGATAGTCTGGAAATGGACAAAAACAAAAGGAACACTGAGAAATCATTGTTTGAATCAATAACCGAAAATGTAAATGTAAAAGACACTGTACAAGGAAGTAAGGTATCACACCACAGGAAGTCTGTTGATTCTGCTACGATACAGTCACCACGTCATAGTACTGACATCGACGACAGCGAGTAAGCATATTTAGAGATTTATTTATGTGAAGTGTAAAGATAACTTCAACAATAGGGATATCAATCTTGTCATTTATCCACAATTGGATGTAAACTTATGATAATTATTTAGATTACATATAAGCTATGGTACCACTGATTTGCAGATGAAATTTGGTATCAAGCTTTATGTGAACATGCTCCAATGCGTGATGCATTAACAGATTCATTGCTCATTCCCTTCCTGTGAACTTAATACTGTGAATTCTTTATTATTCATTGGATACCAATTTTCATGGTTTTTATGCCCCCGCCGTAGCGGAGGGGGCATTAAGTTTTACCCTTGTCCGTCTGTATGTACGTCCCAAAGTTGGTTTCCTTTCTCTAACTCTAGTTTGCCTCAACCAAATGTTATGAAACTTGTACACAATGCTTATTACCACAAAACACAGATCAAGTTTGAATTTTGGTGGCGTCACTTTAACCGTTCTAGAGTTATGCCCCTTTACAAATGGAAAAATTGCTGAATTTATTTTCCGTTCTCTTAATTTGGTTTGCCTCAACCAAATGTTATGAAACTTATACACAATGCTTATTACCACAAAATACAGATCAAGTTTGAATTATGATGATGTCACTTTAACCGTTCTAGAGTTATTCCCCTTTACAAATGGAAAAATTGCTGAATTTTTCGTTTCCGTTCTCTAACTTTAGTTTGCCTCAACCAAATGCTATGAAACTTATACACAATACTTATTACCACAAAATACAGATCAAGTTTGAATTATGGTGGTGTCACTTTAACCGTTCTAGAGTTATTCCCCTTTACAAATGGAAAAATTGCTGAATTTTTCGTTTCCATTCTCTAACTTAAGTTTGCCTCAACCAAATTTTATGAAACTTATACACAATACTTATTACCACAAAACTCAGATCAAGGTCAAATTTGGTTAAGGTCAATTTTACCATTCTTCAGTTATGTTCGTTTATAATTTTATATGATATGCAAGCGGGGGCATCATCTGTGTCCATGCATTCCACATTTATTGTGGGTATAGGTAAACCACGAATTTAAATGTTCAATGAAGTACACATTTTCTTTAGGTTGTATACCGACTTTGGCAAAAACCACAAAATCAAATATCCACGAAAATACAAGTTCTTTATCAATGAAAATTTGTACACACGAAAAAATAAATGAATCCACAGTACTTAAATATTCTTTCATATAAAATAGTCTGTATGAAAGTCTGTCTGTATGTCCTGAAATTGGTTTCTGTTCTCTAACTTAAGTTTGTCTCAACCAAATGTTATGAAACTTATAAACAATGCTTATTACCACCAAACACAGATCAAGTTTGAATTTGGGTGGCATCACTTTCACCATTCTTGAGTTGTGTCCCTTTATAAATGAAAAAAAATGCTGAATTTGTTGTTTCTGCACTCTTGACTTTACTTCACCTCAACCAAATGTTTTGAAACTTATACACAATGCTTATTACCACCAAACACAGATCAGTTTTTTATCTGGTTTGAGTCAATTTCACTGTTCTCGAGTTATGATCATTTAGAAATGGAAAAATTGCTGAATTTTCCATTTCTGCACTCTGACTTAACTTTGTCTCAACCAAATGTTATGAAACTTATACACAATGCTTATAACCACCTAACACAGACCACTTCCATATCTTAATGTTTACACTGTTACCCTTCTTGAGTTATGTCCCTTTATAAAAGAAAAATGTTGAATTTGACATATATGAACAAGCTGCGGCATCTGTGTCCCATGGGCACATTCTTCTCTTATTTCAAAAAGCTTTGTACAATTTAGATTTTGATGTGCTTATAATTTTCACTAGCCAAAACCAATTTCACTTGACTTAAGCTAATGTCTGAAGGCAGAAGTTGAAGGCTGATCTGTTGTTTTGACTCAAGTTATAACAATTTTTTTGTAATTTTTTTACACTTTTTTTTTTTAGATCAGATAAATCTGATGCTTCAATTATTACACCGCCCAAGTTGAGACTAGTAGATATGAAAACAACCAATGTTGAAATAGGTAGGTTGCTGTGTAAACCATTGAAAAACGGGATATAATCATATATGGTATATATACATGGTACAGTATACAATTTTTCAAAGCAATGCATAAATAAAATCTCCATTTTCAATCAGAAAGTGTTGTGGTTTGTAATGGGCAAAGGACCCACAAAGAACAGAGATTAGGGTACATGTAGTATATTCATTTTGTATCTATTATCTGATGCTTACATTACTGAAGTAAATATATGTAGGGGTATTAAAATGATGATAGAAAAAGGAGTGCAGACAGTGTAGTTTTTCTGACAGTTTTGACATCCATTGCCAAACAATGAATATAACAGTAAATAACCATATTGAATAAGAAAATATAATGATAGCTTATAGTTGATGTAACAGGTAGATTTATAGCATTCAGGCTAAAGTGAGTGAGTGAAAGATTATGTAATTATGCTTTAAAATTGATGTTTCAGGGAAATGTCTTTTGGCTAAAGTGAGTGAAGAAGATGGCCAAGGAGAAAAACTTTTGCTTGGAAAAATCTGTGGTAGTTCTAAGATGAAAGAGACTACACAATATACAGTAAACTGGTTAAAAGGTAAATTACTATTCCTATGTTTGAAACACTGATTTTGTTTTAAAAAAAACATACTAATTTAATGGTAAAGATTAATATTTGGGTATGTGTGCTTGATTCATGTAATATTGAGAAAAACTGGCAAGATGCAGGAAAAAAATATGCTTTTATTATTTGAATTTATTATGGAAGTTTTAATTCCCTCTGCTGCAGCGGAGGGGCCATTAAGTGTAACCTTTGTCTGTCTGTACGTACGTCCCAAAATTAGTTTCATTCTCTAACTTTAGTTTGCCTCAACCAAATGTTATGAAACTTATACATAATGCGTATTACCACATAACACAAATCAATTTTAAAATTGGGTGTGTCACTTACCATTCTTAATTTATGTCCCTTTATAACGTTATATGCAAGCAGGGGCATCATCTGTGTCCCATGGACATATTCTCCATTTTTTTACAATTGTCTTCTTTCCTATTGATAATTGCCAATATTCTTGACTTCATATGGTGTGTAGATTTCTCAGTTAGTTAGGTTGCACAGGTTTTCAAGAATATTTCATAATATTTTCATTACAAAACCATTTTTTTCACATCCTTTGCTCGTCATCTTCCTGTTTACCGAATACTTACAGTGGGGGGTTGATAAGTGAGCAAGAGCTCACAGTACATCTAGTTCTTCCATTGGTGAACACTTTTATAAAAACACAGTCAGTTAGTTAAAAACTTTTAAACCATGTGGATTTTTATAATTGGTACCAGGCAAGGAGAGTTTATTTGTGAAGTAGAATGTCGAGATCTTTGTACCCCTGTAGTAGAATTGTTTAATTTGGAATAAAACGATTATATTTTAGTTTGAATATCTTATTACTTGTCATTCTGTGTTATATTTTACTCAGAGCCATATAAAAAAATGTAACATCAACTTTTGATTTTTAGCTGTTATACTATATAGTTAATTTTGTCTTTCAGGTGAAGCTGGAAGGGACACTACATTTGAAATTAGAAAGAAGCATAGTCCTGTAAGTAAATAAAATTATTACAGTAAATACCTGATAAGATACAAGTTTCTTTCAGGAATGAACTTCCTGTTACAGATTTGTCACCAATACAAATGAAAGGAGTGTGGGGTATAAATCAATGAAACAGCAATCCAACAATACAAAATGTCACAAAAGATGATTTTTAATACTTGAGGAATGTCTTTACTGTGTCTCTCATAGCATGTTTTGAAAATTCTCTGTCGAGTCTCAGTGTTGGTATAAAGATGAACAGACAGGTAAACATAGGATTTGTGATATATACATTAGCAACTCTATAAATATATAACAAGTAGCTTGTTTATTACAAAAAACTTAGCTTTAAAAATGTTTGACACAAGATATTTTTGTTTAAACAGTTTATTTGACATTAATAGCAGTATTTGAAAAAAAAGAAATAGGAGTGTTCAGTGCCCTATTTGACCCCCCAGTGTTAAGTTTATTTATTGAAGATGAAAGTGTCTCATGTTTATGCATGAATATTTGAGATAGTGAAATAGATTGGTTTGTGGTGAGCTTTTCTGATAAAGCATTGCCATATACACACCCAAATTGGCAAAAAAAAAAAGATTATTTGGAACCCAGAAAAATAGAGTAATAGGAAACATTATAGCGTGCAGTGTTGGTTAAACTTAATATTAAAGTCAGATAGACTATTTATTATAACAAACATAATTGTTAAAAGATAATTTTGTTGAAGCATGCATAGTTTACTTGAATCAACTGGTTTTATAGCAACAATTTCAGTTTCAACAGCTATCAGTTTATGAAAAGCTCGTGTAACTATCACCTTTGATGTAAATATTATACACAAATATCAAATTATGATTGGTTTTTTTTTATCTTACAGTTGCATTCAAGTTGTGTTCTCTGTAACTTTGACTTTGATCATGCAAAACCTATGTCTCAAGAACTGAAAAGTGAACTTGTACTGGCAAAGGAGTATCATAACAAAAAGAAAACAAGGAAAAGGAAACCAAAAGAAAGGAATGTGTCTCCAAAGAAGGATAAAGATTCATCTAAGACACAAACAGTTGTGAAGAAGTGATTACTTCAATTTTTAATTTATATCTGTTTTAACCAAAGTCAGTGTCAGAGATGTTTAAGATACATATAAATACCAGATATGAAGGCCATCTGGTTACATTTTTCGAGGAGAATATCTGTTGTGATATCATTATTAGCTCATCAGGCCAGAGGTTTCACTTGAGAAGAAGCCATCATTTGTTATCCATTATCAATCATATGTACATCAATATTTCATATTTTATCCCACTATATAGCCCTCTGAATAGATTGCACTGGAAATTGTTATGTACTCTCACCATGACCAAGTAATGCTACTTGATATCACACTGCAGTCAAACACAGCTAAATGAGATTTGATTGGTCAAAATCTGCTATGAACTTATGCATATGGTGCTGAATCATTTTCAGTTTTTATCATACTGCCAGTCAGTAAACTCAAATTGCTGGTAGATATATTTTGTCATTTTGTCATTTTTCATGACAACTGATCCCATTAAAAGTGATTGATTTTGTCCAAGTTTACAGAGATTGTAAAATAAATTGGAATGATTTGTATGGGGATTTATTGTGGTTTTTATAAAAAAGAAGCAATTAAGGATGTTTGCTACTCTAGTTTTATACTTTTTATTCAGATATTAGGAATCCTCTAGTTTTATCCAATGTAGAGTACCAATAAAAATTTAGCCCGCTAACCCTCATTTTTCTTTGCATAATTTTATTACATATAATTTGTAAAGCAGTTTTTGAAAATCTTATAAAATCCTTGTTATTTTTTCATAGTTTTAGAAAGTAAAAAGGTGCTAATATTAAATGTATGAAAAATCTAGAGAGAATCATTTCCCGATAAATTTTCAATTGATTATATCTCATAAACAAGGACAAGGACCTGTAATTTTTTTTCTGCTTTTTAAATTCTGTTATTTATAAACTATCAATTTGTAATAGTCTTTTAAAAAGCATGTTATTTTGAAACAGAGGAACAAACATCCTTAAATAAGAAGTGGTTAGTTTTTTTGTGTGGATTCATCTAATGTCTGCAGCTTGACAGTGATGACTGTGAAGGTGTAAATGCTTTTCAGATCTGTCAGACACCTACTTCCTTATTCTGATACTTTGAATTTCCAGTTGGGGTATGCTTAGCACAACAATGCATGCAACTTCTTTTTACAGTGACAAAAATATGTTGGACATTATACTATTTATACAAATAGAAGTTATATACATTTATTTCATATATATAAGGTATTTTTAAATATACTTATTATATGCTGTTCTTTTTTGAAAGCAATGTAAACTTAATAAGTTTATTTTCATAAACTTAGACAAATAAATTAGAGGCTCATAAACTTAGACAAATGAATTATGAGGTAGGAGAAGATATTATTTTTTCATTTATTACATTTTTTCATTTTGGGTTATTGTTGATAAAACCAATATGTGGTGTTTCTTGTCTCCATGTTGTCAGTGGTTCTTGGTATCTGCATTTTAGTGTTAAATTGTTTTATATTATTAATCATTGTATGGGTCAAATTGTTTATTATTACCGTAATCATTGTTTGGGTCAAATTATTTATTATCAATCATTGTATAGGTCAAATGTATTTTATTTACTAAAATTGGTTTCTGATCAACAGTATTGTTGACAGATAGACAACTCTAAGATGTAATCCATTGTGTTTTATTTTATAAATGATACTTCCATCAATAGATTCTGTAACAAGACACTGATATGTATGCCCATTCTACTAAGTGGCCTAGGCATGTTATGTAAGAAATGTGCACTTTTCTTGTCCTCTGTCATTAGAAATCAAACAGTTGTTTAGGCTTTTTCAGTTATGCCTGCAGATATTGATATGTTTTTTGGAACATAAGTGATTTTTAATGATGACTTACAAATAAAGTTTGTGTTCCATTATGGTTGACCACCTTTTGCAGAAGTACAGCCCTTCCACTTTTTCCAGAAACTGTATTTGTTTTGTAACATTGATATTGAAAGAATATTTACAGATCAAGTTTTTTATTGCCTCTGGTTGACCCTATTTCATGAAATTCATATTTTAATTTTATGTCTGGTGATCAGCAATGACAACATCAGCCATTCTGGTTGACTGACTTTTTCAATGCAACAAATATATTGTAAATGTTTCATTTTAGTCAAATTAGTCACACTATAAACCCATGAACACAGTGTTGTCATTATATGCCCCAGATACACCTATTCTTTATTTGAATTCTAGGAACTGTACATTTAAACGATTGGCTGTGTGCAGGGCATTTGTTTCATACCAACACATCTAGTTTACATTATACCTTTGAAAATTAATTTGTCCGTTTCTATTGCATTTCTTCCATTTCATATGTATCCCTTGCTGGTAAAGGGAGTCAAAGGTAAAAACTACCAATGTTGAATATGAGTATATTGTAATTAGAGACTCGAAAATATTTGTTTTTCCCCTAGAAAGGTCCTCCATAGAAAGGATGCGGATGAAAAGGTAAGCTTGAATGGTACCTTGATGTAATTTTTTTTTTATGGGTATTCTACAACATAGAATGGATTAGGTAGTTCTTATGGAAAATACTTGTAGCATTGTTTGTTGTTTATTGTATTTGAGTATAAAGTTATTTAGTTTTTTATTGTTAAAGTTATATTTGAGAATTGGGCATTAAGAAAGAATAATTATACACAGTCAGCGATGTACATATTATGGTATGCTTATTCAGTCTGTCAAATAGATGTTCAGTTTCCCCATCCATTTATCCAAGCACATCTAGAGATTGCTTAAATTTGCTTTAAAGGATTTCTTTAACTTTTAAATAATATTTTATTCTATAAAGAGAAGCTCCTTTTTTATGTGAAATTTACAGATGTGTTATATCAGAGTTATGGGACTTTAATTAAAGAACATTGTACAATATGGAGTATACCTAAATATAACTTTATTAACTGATGAGATCTTTAACAAATTTTTGCACGAAGTTTGGTTTCATTAAGACATGCTCCCATTCTATTTTGAAGATTGAGAGTTATTGTTCTAAATTTGTCAATTCAGAGCATATTTCATGAGAAGTCTAACAGATCTTTATAAAACCTTTTACACAATGTTCAAATAGATGAATACAACTTCCATCTATAACTGCAAGTTGGCAATTGCTGTTCAAGGGTTTGTGGATGATTGCTTGGTGATTGCTTAACTTTATGTAAGCTCAAAACAAATATATCACAACAAATAGTTTTTGGAATGAATTCCTCAAAATATAAAGTAGTTATCCTTGGGTATCAGAAATGAACTGATATAATATATCAAATATGAGTTCAAATCCCTGCATTCATTTAATAAACCCAACACAAGGAAAAGATCTTTTATTGCTGTGTATCTCTTGAATGTCACAGATAGGACTACAGCCCAGGGGACGACTCCAAGCCTTTCTGTAAGTTCAATATGTCCTTTAGCACTGTTTAGAGTACAATTCTTTGTTAGAAGTCCGTACAATCCTTCTGTGCATTACAGTAAATAAAAACAGGTTACTAGGCTATAACAGTCTGCAAAGAAATTTAATCAAGTTTTCTGTCATCTAATTCTTTGATGTTCTATAGCAATTTTACAACTATTTCAGCCTACCTGCTGTTCAATGTTAAATTATTTACTGAGTTGTTTTAGTGTATTTGAACTTTAATTGTTGAAACAAGAGGAAAAAAGGCTGTCATGTTCTCAGGGTGCTTTTATTTTTGTATTGATGTAAATAATAACTTATCCTAATTGTCTATAAATGTTAACTGGTGGTCCAGTAATAATTGTAAATATGATTGTCTTTGATATTTTAAATAACAGCCTTTGTTTTTATCAAATTAAATTGTGTACGAGGTTGTTTGTGTTTTATGTGTGAAAAAATATTAAGTTATATCAAAAACCAGGTCATTACAACATTAACCTCCCTCAAAATGAACACTTGTAAATATTTTAAAACTTTTAAAGGTATTGATCCTACATGCAGGAATCTTATATGTTCCTTTGTCAGGCAACTGCCAATTTTTACTACAGACCCAAATATTTTGAAAAAAATTATAGACAAATAATACCAAATAGTAAACCTTTCTGTGTACATTTTGAAGATAAAAATTTATGGTGTAAATTAAGATGTTTACAAGGATATTTATTAGTATAATACAATTTTTGTCAATACCCACAATAAGTAAATGACAAAATGTCAGCTATTCTGCTCCCTATGCGTGCTTCTGCATTTACGTTATCAGTTTCCATACACTGATTAGTTTTTTGCTGTTCTTAACATTTAAAAAGTTAAACATCCATGTTAAAATTTTAGATAACATGTTACTTAGTTCAAAGATGTATTTTGAGGAGTATAACAACCTCCTATAATAATGTATTATCTTCACCTTAAACATATTTGCACATGTTATTTATCAATATTAAGTTTTTATACATGTAGTAAAATCATAATTTAAAAAACTATGACATATACTTCAGATGATTTTAGATGTATTTTGTTCAATAGTTTTAGGAATTTTTAGTTTACTTTATTAGATTTTATGTGGATTGACCGAATGATGACAAATCTTCGTTTATTCAGAGAACATCTAAGATTTTTCATGATCAAAGTTCTTTGAAAAAACTTAAATGTTATTTTTGATTCAAAAGAAATTATAAACAGAGATGGATTTAGTAATTATTTGTTTTGTGAGGCTTTAACCAGAAAACAACTGTTTTTCAATTGTGTGTCATATTGCTTTATATCATGCTAACTTGCTTTAAAAAGTAATATATCAGCAGTCAACTAATTAACCTCTTTCGAAAAGAAATTACTGTCTAGTCAACACAGCTGAATAAGGTTTGTGTATAGCAATTAGAAATGGAAATCAAACAATGAATTTATCTGTTACTTTTATATACAATTATAATGGGGAAATAGAATGTCATTGTAAAGCTAGTAGTATAGGTATTGTAATAATTTATAAACAGTTATTAATAGTATATTTTGTCTACTTATTGTAAATCATGTGAGTTTTTAAGTGTAATATGTGTGACAGATTTAATAGAATAAAACTTTGGTAAAAACAGTTTGGAGACAAGCTAGCATTGTTGTTTTGTTGCCATTTTTAATTCCTTGCAAAGTTAAGAAATTTTGTTTTTGAACAAAACAACTTTTTTTTTGTTACTATGAAAAAAGTATTGATGCATCAACGTAATTTTAATGAAGTAATTGAAAGGTGACAATGACTTATTTTATTGAAATATATAAATTTAGAATTCTACAGTATTTAGAAAATTCCAGTGTTAATCTTGGCCATCACTTGTCTTACCTTGTGTCAAGTTAAAACATTTCCCCCCTCTAAAAACAATTGACTTATTTAAGGCTTCTTTAAACTTGTTATTTATAATCAGACTGGATTTCATATCTAAAAAAATAGAAAATACATGCAAAAATATGCAAATGAATCCTCCCGATTCACTATATACATGTGAAGATCATTGGTTACCTAACATTGGCCAATAATATGATTATACTCCAGGGCCAGATCCAGCCATTTTTAAAAGGGGGGGTTCCCAACCCAGGATAAAGGGGGAGGGTTCCAACTATATGTCCCCATTCAAATGCATTGATCGTCAAAAAAAAAAAGGGTGGGTTCCAACCCCCGGAACCCCCCCCCAGATCCGCCATTGTACACCCTGCAAACAAAATATCCAGGGTCTGGCTGTGTCTCTGTCTGACTGTTAGTCTGTTTGTCCCAAGATTGCTGAAAAGCATTAGAATAAAATAAGCTTGAGATGACACTTTATTTTGTAAAAAATCAGCAACAACAAATCTGTTTAACTGGTGATGTTTAAAGATTTTTCAATGAATCACTTCATTATGACATCATTGTGACATCAGAATATGTTGCTAAATTATAGAAATGGAATTGATTGCAGTTTTAAATGTTGGCCTTTGAAGCATGTATACTAAAAATTCTTCTCCAATTTATGATATAGTTTACAAATAGTTCAATAGAAGATTAACTCAAATCTTCTGTTAATTCTTCCCCATGAGGCAAATCACCTGTAAAGGCCACTAAATTGCTCATGTTGAATCAAGCAGCCGGGCAAATTACAAACATAGGCCATTGAATAGTTAAAAGTGCAGAATCAAAGCAACCAGGAAAATCATCTACAAAGGCCACTGAATTGTTTAAGTGTTGTTTAAAGGTAACTTTGAAAATAACCAATCAAGGTCAATGAATTGTTCAAGTTTGGTTTCAAAGTAAACAGCCAAATCACCAACAAAGGCTACTGAATTGTTCAAGTGTAGTACCAAAGTAACCAGGCAAATCACCAACAAAGGCCACTGAATTGTTCCAAGTGTAGTATCAAAGTAACCAGGCAAATCACCAATAAAGGCCACTGAATTGTTCCAAGTGTAGTTTCAAAGTAACCAGACAAACCACCAACAAAGGCTACTGAATTGTTCAAGTGTAGTACCAAAGTAACCAGGAAAATTACCAACAAAGGCCACTGAATTGTTCCAAGTGTAGTATGAAAGTAACCAGGCAAATCACCAATAAAGGCCACTGAATTGTTCAAGTGTAGAATCAAAGTAACCAGGCAAATCACCAACAAAGGCTACTGAATTGTTCCAAGTGTAGTATCAAAGTAACCAGGCAAATCACCAACAAAGGCCACTGAATTGTTCAAGTGTAGTATCAAAGTAACCAGGCAAATCACCAACAAAGGCCACTGAATTGTTCCAAGTGTAGTATCAAAGTAACCAGGCAAATCACCA